CCCCTCCCTGCAGCCCCTGCCAGCCATGGCTGAGGGTCCCTCTCAGGGGGTGCTCCCTCAGCCTTTGCTGCTCCCAGAGCTGCTCCAGCCCTTGGGCATCTCCTCTGGAGCTGCTCCAGGAGCTCCCTGTCTCCTTCAGGTCCCTTTGGTTTGGGGGGAGCTGGAAGAAGTTTCCTTTGCGAACGTGAAAGGCTCGTGATTCATCTGATCTTAAAAACATTTACAGCTCATTCTTCTTTTGTACAAATGTAATTACAAAGACAGAAAATTATGGTAATCTTGGTAATACCTTGGTTTAATGGGGCTGGTGGAAGGGAGGGGAGCAGCATTCCAGCAGCAAACAGCTTCCTGCTTGGGAAATAGTGTTGTCAGGGGCTTGGTGAAAAGGAGATTATTGTGACAATTTGCTGTCAAGAGCGGCAGAGATCTGTGAGAGACAACACGCCTGCCTTCAGCTGGGCCTGGAGATGTTGTAAATACCCAATTTGGAGGGGTGGGACAAAGCAGGACGTGCATGCAAATGCCACTTGTCACTTCTTTCCACTTGCGGTGTCCTCTCTGCACTGAGCGGTGTTTCAGGGTCCCTTTGAGGCACGGCCTGAGTCTCTCACAGAGGGCACCAGCACTGGTGGGAGCTGATGGGCTGTGCTGAGTTGTGGTTTCAGCCTGCAAGGCCGGGTTGGACGGGGCTTGGAGCAGCCTGGGCTGGTGGGAGGTGTCCCTGCCCATGGCAGGGGTGGCACTGGATGGGCTTTGAGGTCCTTCCAACCCAGACCATCCTGGGGTTCTGTGATTCAGCTGAGATGCCGAAATCAGGCTTGGAGCACCCACACTGAGTCTGGAGGGTGGGGGTTCATTTCCCATGAAACCCCCCAGAGGATGGAGAAAAAATGCTGGAGAGAAACCCTTAGAGGGGCATTCTGTGATCTGACAGTGTGGGCATACACAGGGGAGCTGGAAGGTACAGCAGCTTTACTTCAGAACTGCAGCTGTAAATGAAATGCCAGCTCCTGGCGCAGGGAGCATCCCAGAACAGACTCCAGGGATTACAGCAGGTGCAGCTTTCCTCCCTGAGGAGGCACAGGAGCAGCACTGCTGGGAGTGTGGATCCTCTGCCTCCAGATGAGTAACCAGAGCTGTGCCTGCTTGAAGTTTAGGGATGTTTCCAGAGTAGTTGCTGCTGCTGAGCTTTTGTAGCTCTTTGGGAGCAATTGTCCTTTTCAGGATGAATCATCCTGAATGAATTCATGTACAATGGGAGAAGGGGTTCATATACCTGCTAATTTCTCTCCCTCCCTCTCATCATGACAAGCAACAATTGAATTTTTGTATGAAATTGTACCATCTCCCCCGTGACTGACAAATGAGATGCAGTGGGAGGGCTGTGTCTGATAATGAACCCTTGTCAGGGACTGACAGGAGCAAGGGAAAATAATACTCTGGAGTTTCTGTGCAGCCTCTTGAACACAAACAGAGCCTGGGCTGGAATAGGGTCCCTGGGAGTGCTCAAACCCCATGGGGATGCCCCCCAAGCTGCTCTAGGGCAGTCCCTGGCTGGTCTCAGCACTGGGGCATTGCTGGGCACTCTGGACACTGAACAATCCCCTTGGCATCCCCGAACACCTGAGAGATGGGTTTGCTGCTGATCTGAAACGCAGGGTCAAGCTCCCTCACCAGGAGGGAAATGTGTGTTTTAAGTGCATTCCTGGAATCCCCACACACGGGACAGTGCCAAACAGAGAGGCAGGTCTTGCTGTGCCTCTGCACCCTCCTTGGATCAGGCTTTATTCCAGAGTCAGCTCTGGGTTCTTTGCTCTCCTTGGCTGGATTAACGTGACAGGGACGGGATCTGCCCCCTAAGGTAGAAATCTGGTGTAGGAGCAATAGTAGTTGTTGTTGTTGTTCTCCCTTCTGAAACCGTCTCCTACAAGATCCCACTTTAACTGGCAGTTTCCCCCATCCCTGGGAGTGTCCCAGGCCAGGTTGGACAGGGCTTGGAGCAGCCTGGGCTGGTGGGAGGTGTCCCTGCCCATGGCAGGGGTGGCACTGGATGGGCTTTCAGTTCCCTTCCAACCCAAACCATTCCACGATCCTGTGATTCTCTGGTGCAACACTGTTTTGAGCTGTGCATTCCCAGCTGGCCCAAGGCAGGGAACGGTGGCAACAACTGCAGTTGTTGTGGTGCCAGCCAGGAATAAAAGAGAAGGGTTTGTTGCACAGTTAACCCAGGAGGATCATCTGCGTGGAGCTGGATGAACACTCCCCATGAGCAGCCTCCCAGAGTTTGGGAAACACGTCTTGGGATGGATTTAGGAAGTGACTGGTGGCTTTTGTGCTGGCCTGAGGGAAGGAGAGCCCAGAAGCCTGGGCAGTTTTCCTGTGTGTCGGGAGACAAATGTCCTGTCACAGTGCTGGCATCTCTGCCACCGAGTGGCTCTGAGGCTGAAATCCACCCCTGGGTCACAGCCAGGATTGCTTGGAAGCCCCTGCTGGTTTTGTACCAGAGCAATCCCACGGGATGGATCACAGGGATGAAGCAAAGCCCTGCCTCCCTGGGTGACTGCACATCCCCAGGGATGGGAGCCAGCCTTGCCCGGCTCCTTGGCTGTGGTGCCAGGACAGACCCTCACCAGGGGGGTTGGCACAGCTGTTTCCCAGAGTCTGGCAGCTGGTGCTGGGCACGCTGAGCTCTCTGGGAACACGAGTCCCATTCGGAGCCAGCTGGAATAGCTGCAGGCACAGAGCAGTTCCCCAGGGTACCCTCACCGGGAATATGGACTGCCAGCCCCTGCTCGGGGTTCAGAGCTGAGCAGGGTGGAATGCAGCCAGGAAAAGTCATTTCTCCTCACCAGCAGGAGCTGCTCCTCCTTCCCTGTCACAGCCCGGGGGGAATCAGGGCAGGGAGACTGGAGAAGGTCCAGGGCTGCTCCTCATCCTGTCCCCTGATGGCAGTCCCACATCTTTTCTCATCCGGCACTGGGATGGTTCTGGATTCAAATAATCAGCGTTATTGGCACTTGGGGTTAAAACTCGGTTTCCTGAGGTTAGGGATGTGCTTTGCCTGGCTGTGCCTCTGGAGCTGTTGTCGCTGTCTGGAGGAGCTGACAGGGTTGTTTTAAGATCTTCATTGTCGATGGGGTTAAAGGAGCAGCTGGAAAAACTCGGGGCAAAGCAGTCACTTACTGATGAGCTGGAGCTGCGTTTGCTGTGATTTCTGCTACCATGAATACCAAATGCACTGAACTCAGTGTTTGCTTTTCTGTATGTTCAGGCTGTTTCACAGATCCCACACAGCTGTAGAAAACCAGATACAAATTTTCACACCTCTTGCTGGGCTGATCAGAGATTTCCTTGGAGTTTTCTGCTCCCCTTTGCCTCCCTAACATGTGTTTTCCCACTTGGAGCGATTTGCAGCTCGGCTGTTTTGCTTTAAGCGCTCCCTTGAGAGCTGGGGCTCCATTTTCCCTTCAGTGCAAGTACCCACATGGAAATAACCTTCCAAACACTCTTTTTTGTATTCAGCTCTTTGAGTCATGCAGGCAGGTTTGGGAGGAAGTCAAGGAGCTGTGTGATGAATCCATTGAATATTGTCCTGCAGGGAGCAGAGGTGTGTTTTTATTGACCTGGGGAATCAAGTCCTGTGAGACCTTTCCTTATGAGGCTCAAATATTCGGCTGCATTGACACTTGTGGCTGTTCAGGAGGATATTGGCCCATCATAAACCTGCAGTATTAATGGGGTAATTCCCTGATATGCTGTAGCTGGAGTTTGTTTTCTCAACAAGCTGGTTTGCCCATTACCTGCTCTGTTGCTGAGTTTAAGCTGTAATCTGTTCTCGTGGTAAGGTTTGGCATTTGTTCAGATCTTGGGGGCTATTTCCCTGTGTTTTATGGATTTGATCTGTAATGGATGTCTCCACTGCCCTCCCCTGGACTGCATAATTATCCATAAAAAATACTCCCTCAATTCAGGAGTGTAATGGTGCAACCACAGTCAAACCTGTCCCCTCTTCCAAGGCTATTATCCTCTCCATAAGCTTATTCCTCATCTGGGAATGCTGGAATGGGTATAACGAACTTTCATTTTGTACTCAGGCCCAGCCATCACATCATTCCTTTTCAGTGGTTCCTGTCTGCTCTGGTTGTATTCTGGACCTGTGTGTTTCCAGCAGTAAAACTGCCCTTCCTAAGGAAAGAAAAAGGTTCTACTGAAGGATGAAAAGGCCTGTTTTTCTGCATTTCTTTGGCCAGATCTCTCTCTTTACCAATATACTCAGCTGTGGAGGCAAACAGCCCTAGAATAATTTAGGTTGGAAAGGACCTTTCGGGTCATTGGTTCCCCACATTCCCTCAGCACTGCCAAGCCCTGGCCTTGCAGGGATGGGGCATCCACCTTTTCTCTGGGCACTGCTGTGCTTGGGGTTCCATTTACCACTCAGAAAGAAATGCTTCCATCAGCTCCCTTGGCCCCTCATTATCCACGTTCCTGGAATCAGGCCGGAGCACTGGGAATGCCAGTCCAGTACTGGGGGCACAGGACTGTGCTCACAGCATGTTATGGGGCGTGAGGGAGCCACTCCTCAGCAAACTGTTCTTGGGAACAGCCTTGGCAGAGCTCTGCCCCTGTTCTTTGGGGTGGGTGCGTTGTTAATTAGCGTGGGGAGGACAAGTGGTTTAATTAAAGCAGGGACAGTGCTGCTTCCCTGCCTCTGGAATGGACACCGTGTCTGGCTCTCGCTCAGCACCGCTTGGCAATATTGATGAACATCAGGGGTTTGGGGAAAACAGGCAGGGAGGAACCAGGGGATTGCAGGTGGTCTCCCATCATCCCAAAATACATCTCAGGTGCTGGAAAGGGATCAGATTGCCATTATTTGCTGCTTTTCTTGTCCAGCCCCAGAGGACGAGGGCAAAATATCCCTGGAGGTGAGAGGAGAGGGGCAGCTGGAATTCTGTCCTGTCTAAAGGGATCCATTAATGGGGGTTTCTCTTGTGTTGCAGCGTTCCCACATTCCAGAGCCTTCCCGAGGAGATCCTCAGTAAGCTGGCAGATGTCCTGGAAGAGGTAAGTGCTTTTTTAATGCTGAGACTTTGGAGTCCAGAACCTTCCAGTGGCAGTATCCAGGCTCTGCTGTTCCCCAGGAGCAGCTTCCCAGTCGTGGTTGACTCTTCCAGCACGCTGAGATAATGAGAGGAACTGTTTGAAAACTGAATCCGGTTGGGAACAGGGTTTATATATTTTTGTCTAAATAGAGTTTTGATCAGGTTGGGGAGGGAAAGAATCACTTCCTGTGATGCCCAAAAGGGGAACAACCTTCTCCAGCCCCTGGTTCAGTGGTGGGGACAAGAGGGGAATGTGCAAACACCATTTCCTTCCAAATTCCACGGGACAGTGATGCTAGAGGGCAGTTCAAAGGAGGTGTCATGGAAAAGGTGCTTTGGGAAGAGTTACAGCAGAGAGGGGGTGGTCTGGATGCAGCTGGGCTTTGCCTACCCGGGGGCTCATTAATGTCAGGCTTTTAATAAGGCTTGACATAAAACAAACCCAAAGAAACCAGCCACAAAACGACAACAGAAACACCACCTAAAACGCCAAGCAAAAAAAAAACCCCCCTAAAACTGCAAGAAACCACCCCCTAAAACTGGGGAGTCCACTTGAACTGCTTTTCTCCCAGGGCTGTTCCTCCTCTGCCTTTCCCTTTGGTGTTCAGAGAAGTCCCCTGGCTGTTTGCTGTGCACAGGAACTCCTGTTCCCAGATAAGCTCTGTTCCCTCTCTGCTGGAGAAGGGCACGTGGAGTGGGCTGCCAGCAATTCAGTGTGCCTGTCTCCAAGCCCCTTCTGACCACACACACAGCTCCGCTTCCCTGGATCACACACCCAGCCTGAAGCTCCTTCTCCGGAGTTAAGGGAGGGAATCCAGTCTACAGAACTTTTGCAGGGACGTTTAAAGTTCTGTGGAAGAGGAGGGAAAAATACCTTAATAAATGTCCTTGAAGAAGTGAGGCCCAAAAGGGGGGGTAACTCTGGACCCTGGGGGTGGATGGTGTGGAAAAGAAGGCTGCTTATCCCAGCCTGGCCTGGGATCCAGCTCCCAATTTCCTGCTTGGAATCAGCCTTTGTATCCTCTGAGTTTGTCTTTGATTGAAGGGACCCTGCTTTACATGACAGAGCATCCCTCTCTGATCTGTATATTTAGATTTATAGGTTCTGTAACGCTGCTAGAGGTGTGTGCAGTGTATAGATGTATAGGTGTGTGTAGGTAAATATATACATTGTGTATATATGAATATACATAGGCAAACATATACATTATATATCTAAATATATACAGGTTAATATACTATCATACAGTAAATAGATACTATGATACACTACAGATAGACTACAGTGCTTCTTGTCCCAGTTAAAGAATGGCTTTAATAAGGCACAAATGGCATAAAGAAAAACAGAATTCCTCTCTGGTGCTCATGGTGCTCCCGGTGGAAAGCGTTGAACCTGGAGATTTTGTGCTGTAATTCCCAGCCATCCTTTTGCTCCACACTGGGAATTAGTATGGATCAGAAGTTCCTGGGATGCCTCTGTTTAATTAGCAGAGTGTGAATACACTCCTCCTTTTATCAGGACTCTGTGGCAACAGTGAATAGAACGGGAGAAATGTGTAAAATTAATTAGCTTTCCATATAATTGGTATCTTTTTAGGCTTATTAGGACTGAGGGTTGCTCTTGGATAAAGGAAACTTGGTGCCTGGTCCATCCTGCAGGTCCTGCAGCACGAGGTGCTCAGCAGCAGGTGCTGATTCCAGGTGGAGCTCTAAACCAGATTTGAGGGAAAATTCAGAGTAAAAGGTTTTGGTGGGGAAAAAATACTTTTTTATTTTATTATTGATCTCTTGTTCATTAAAGGAAGCATCTGGGGCATATTTACTGATGGAACTGTGGGATGAGAGTCAGGGAAAAGCTTCCTGTGGGGGCAGCAGAGCAGTTTGTGTCGTGATGGATTTGATCCCACAGGGACAGAATTTTCTGTGGATTTTTCAAGTGGTACCAATGGAAACATATAAAAATAAAAAGCGTTAGGAAATGAAGTGCAGCTGGCAAACTGCAGTGCAGGAGCCCAGGGAAGTCCTTGGGTGCAGGAGCTGCTGCAGCACTTGGGTCGGGGTAGAAGGTGTTGCCTGGAGATGAGTTTTCCTTTTGCTTTTCCTTCCTGTGGGCACTGCCCACCTAGAGGCCGTGGTAAATGAATGGCTCCTGCTCACGTCCTCACGAGGAAGGAGTTTGGTGTTCCCTGGTCCCTGCAGAGCCTTGTGGGGACCCTGGCTGCTCCTGGGTGGGTGTCGTGGCCACCCTGACGGAGCTGCTCCTCTGCAGGGCTGCAGATGGGGCGGGATGGGGTGCTTGTTCCAGTCCCAGTTAATAAATCCCTAACATTTTGTGTCAGAGGGTGGGATGCAGGTGATTCCAGGGGTGTCTGAGCTTACAGAGTGAGACCGGCCAGTACAGGGAGTGAAGAAATCATTAGAAATCATCAGAAAATCTTTGCCCCCCTCAGTGGGCAGGGAAAGCCCCTCCAGCAGTGACATGGCCACCTGCAGGACATGTGGCAAATCAGCAGGACAGGGAAACACCTTCCCAAATGCTGCTTCATTCAGTATTTTCTTTTATTAATAATTTTTATTGTTTTGGGGGGATGTTCAAGCTTTCAGTGGGAGGTCACTGATAAGATGGTGATTTTTGAAGCTGCCACACTTGCCAGGGTTGTGCAGGTGTTGGGATTTAAATGTTTGCTGGATTAAACCCAGCTCTGCCCTATCTGGAAGATATTTTTGTGCTCTCTAAGCGGATTCTTCAGCCAGTCTGTCACAGCTCTGAAAGAAAGGAGCGAAATACATGGGGTTTTTGTTGGTAATCTTAGATATTTTCCAGGGTTTCATAGATATGGAAAGAAAGGATTTAAGTCAATCCATAATTTATTATTTGCACTGGCAGATTTGCAGACTATTAGAAACACAAGGTGGATGTGGGGGTTTTTACAGCACCTGGGACAACAGAGAGGTCACAGCTCAGGAGATCCAAGGACTCATCTCTTCCCTGATCCAGCCACATCCTAAGTTTCCCCACAACCATTCATTTGCTCTCCCCAGCAAATGGTCCTTTTCTGTAACAATATCATATTATTGCTTATAAAAATAGAAAAATAATGCTTGGGTGCTGATTTTAAGATAAATAACCACATCTGTGAAAACCCCTCCATGAACGTCTGCAGTGCTCCTGGTTGTCCTGCCGTGGGAAGCTCAGGACAAGGGGCCTGCTTTGCATGGAGCATCTCCAGGCCTTGCTATCAGAATTCAAGAGGAGCTTTTCTGAGAGCCTGGGCATTCCCAGACACCAGATGATTTATGGGATGGGTGTGTGGGATGGGTGGGGTACCTGCTTTGTGCTCGGGGCTCTGCTGGATCCTTCAGGGGAAGGCTGGAAGGGGAGGGGGGGTGTCTGCATCTCCTCCTGGGACTTTGCTTTACCAAGCATTTCCCAAATTCCCACCCCCCATCCCTAGTTATACACATATAAAAGCTAATTTTGGTGGCAGTGAACCAAAGAAACCAAATCCAACCTTGTGCTTGCTCGAAAACACTCAGTGATTTCCAGCCTCCAACCCTGAAGAAAGGAATTGTTTCCAACAAGGCTCCTTTCATCTGTGAGCTGCAGACACTCCAGCTTTATCTGTAGAAGCCCCAAAAAATACAGAATTAGCAACTATATGAAGGCAGACCCCAATAATAATTAACTTGCTGGGTGTTTTCCCTTTGATCCAGACTTGGTTGCGCTGGCGCCTCCCATTGCATTGCCCACAGTGACACCTGCTGGCACTTGGGACAGGGATGGAGGGCAGGGCCTCAGGAGCAAGGGAGCAATTAGGGCCAGAAATGAAGAGAACAGTCACCGTGGTCGTGGGGAGACCCCTGGAATGGCCACCAAGCTGGGAATGCTGGGGATGTGGAGCTGGGAGTCCTCCTGGACCAGCTGGAGCCACCCCATGGGATGGGGAGGTGTTTATTTATTATTTATGGTGTTTATTTTCCTTGGGAAATGAACTTGCCCCCACTCCCTGTGTGTTAAACATCCACTTACAGGTCCTGGTACCTGAACCAAGTCCTGCTTCCCCGCCCTTGGCGTGGTGTTTGCAGTGAGGGAGTTCGAATGGCAGGGATTGAAAGTTGTGCTCCTGATAGCACAGAGCCATTTCACCCTCAATCCATAGACAGCAGGCACTGGAGATGGGCAAATATAACCAGGGCAGGGAGGGAGAAACAGCTCAGAAAGGGAGTCCCTGATGTGGGAGAACTGGGCTGGCCTGATTTCCATCCTGCACTCCAGGGGCCATTGCAGATTTCTTATTTACCTTTGTAACCCCTCGAGGCTTTCTGTCCCTCCTAACAGGGAGTTTGCTGTGCAGCTTCCCAAAGAGGAATTTCTCACTGCTACAGGGCTCAGGTCCTGTCTGCCAGCTGGGACTAGGGGGGGCACAGGGGGGATGGCAGGGCACAAAACACGTGTGAGCCACCAGGACTGGGCTTGGGGAGAGCTGCACCCCCTCCCGTCCTCCTGTTTGGGGTTAAGGGATGTTGTTCTGCTGGAGAAGCTTTTTGGCTGGGCTGGGAACGGATTGTTGCTTTACAGAAAAGGGGTTTGGGTTTTGGCTTTGTTTTTCTGAGGCTTGATGGATTTGGGGTGGTTTGTAGGGCCAGGAGTTGGACTCTGTGACCCTGGGGGGTCCCTTCTAACTCAGCACACCCTGTGATGCTCCTGGCCATGAAAATTGTGCTGCTGACCTGCAGAGCTCCCAGGGAGTGGAGCACAGGCTGCAGGTTCTGCCTCTCACCTGGAGTGTGCAGGGACTGTGGGCAGAGCGAGGGGCTGCTCCTGTTCCCCACCCCAGGAGTGTCCCAGGCCAGGCTGGACGGGGCTTGGAGCAGCCTGGGCTGCTGGAAGGTGTCCCTGCCCTGGTCCCTCCCAACCTGACCCATTCGGGGCTTTTCTGCCTGTATTTGGGCATCGTCCCC